AGTCTTTCGACTTATAAGTACCATGCAGTGCATCAGATCGGAACCATACCTTCCATCGCAATGTGGTTTGGAAAGTGTTATTGAATTTATTATTATCATTTTTCCCAGTTGCCAAAAATGTTTTGATTCATTTGTGCTTTTTCGGTCTCTCTAAAGTATCGACTTACAAAGTCAGACCGCTCAGATTCAAAGTCAGATTAATTTTCATCATGAATAAATAATGATCACTCTATTAATGTGACATGCTAGGTACCAAGACTTAAGTCTCGCGTCATGTTTTCACTCGTCTCACGTCGTGTTTTCACACGCCTCACGTCATGTTTTGACACGTCTTACGTCGTGTTTTTGCACGTCTTACGTCATGTTTTGACATGTCTTACGCCATGTTTTCACACACCTCGTGTCATCTTTTCACATGTCTTACATCATGTTTTCACACGTCTTACGTCATGTTTTCACGCGTCTTACGTCATGTTTTTACACGCCTCGTGCCATGTTTTCACACGCCCTACGTCATATTTTCACGCGTCTTACGTCATGTTCTCACACGTCTTAAGTCATGTTTTCAGACGCCTCGTGCCATGTTTTCACACGCCCTACGTCATATTTTCACGCGTCTTACGTCATGTTTTCACAAGCCTCGTGTCATGTTTTCACACGTCTCACGTCATGTTTTCACACGTCTAATGTCATGTTTCCACACGTCTAATGTCATGTTTTCGCACGTCTAATGTAATGTTTTCCACGTCTAATGTCATGTTTCCACACGTCTAATGTCATGTTTTCGCACGTCTAATGTAATGTTTTTCCACGTATAATGTCATGTTTTCACACGTCTAATGTTATCTTTTCACACCACGTCTCACGTCTCGTTTTCACACGCCTCCTTTTCGCTGTTGCCGTAACCGAGCCATCGTTGCAACGCACATGTAACCGCCGTTATTAACCGCGTTGCGCGAGACCCTCTGGAGAAACGAGGTGTCGAGTTAACCTTGCGCCGCTCATCTAATGTGAGGCACTTAGAGAGTACGATCATAGTGAGGGAGGTGAGAGTGATGAGTCTTGCATCACTTGCTGCATCTCCATCCTTCGAGAACATCGACCACTATGATAGTGTGGGTGATGGGAGTGGTGAGGGAGGTGAGTCTTACATCACTTGCTGCATCTCCATTCCTCGAAAACATCGCTGGTTGGATCATCAATTGTCGAAGAAAAAAACTGATGGTTTCATCAATAATTATAATCGCTGCTTGAAATATTATTACCAACCGGTTCATCAAGCGTCTTAGATATTGTTTCATGGTGTCAATTTAGGATGACGAAGAAATAATTTTGTATTTTTTGCATCGAATGTCGCATCAAGGATTCATTTCAACTCAAGTGATACGCAGAGGAATAATTTACAAATTATCTTTAATTTTTATAATTTTATATCTTTTTTATTTTATCTCTTATTTTATCTAATTTTATATTTTTATCTTTATCTAATTTTATCTAATTTTATCTTTCTTTTTATCTAATTTTATCTCTTATTTTATATCTTTTAATTATATCTTTAGAATGTCTAATCAACTCCTCAGGATTTTTTTCCTTTAATGAAGTAAATTACAGAAATAATTCTTTATTAACTGTAAAATCATGGTTTAGAGAAAGTAAGAGTTACATAGCACTTGTTCACTGAAGAGTCCAACATGCCTCTCATTCTGGACTTTCATTCTACGTGCCTGCGATATCCAGCGTCGAGTTTAATCTGTTCCATGCATGGGACACTTTCGTCATCTACAATACGTTATTAGCTCTGGTATCGTAGCCATTCATAACAGTGCACTCTCGTACCCTTCCAATACAATGCTCTCTCGTTGCCTTTTAATATATCGAACTCTCGTAGCCTGTCAATGCATTGCACTCACAATTCCTCTGAACGATATCCTGCAGTCATTGTATACTGAATGGCAAGACTTCGATGTCTGGGACGCTTTATAAACGCTTAAGTTAAGAAACGACTTCGATATAGGCTATCTGCATGGGTCGGTTATTATAGCTTTGCGCTTTGATTTATGTTTGGTTTCATGTTCCATTAGTGAGAAATAGTCCTGATCCTGTTGCTAGACTGAAGTATCCTGGTCAATTCCAAGAATTAATTCGCCTAGCAAATGCAATGACTTTTTCTTTCAAGCTGATTTCTGCAATATAGTCAGCTTTGGCATATCGGGTTGGGATTTTGGCTTGTTTTGAGGGTGGTTAAGTTGTTACAGTAAGTCGGATGTTAACAAATGGCATTTACTAGCATGGAGTAGAAATGATTATGCGTATACTCAATCTCCTTATGTAATCTGACGAGTATTTTTTGAAATCGTAAACGAGTATTTCAAATATTTTCTTGCAGGATTACCTATTTTGCATATCTCACTGGCTATTTCATGTACAAAATGTTAATTAATTTCTCTAGTGAATGATAGGATCGCTTTTGAATTGGCACTTTCGTTGGCACTCGTCATTTTAAATGAAAGCTGTTCCGCGATAAAAAGGCATAATAAACATCAAATATTTTATGGCCAAAACGGTGGTTGTTGCTACCCGCAATACTCGTGTCTGTGTCTCGAGGCAGATTTCATATCAAATAAGAGTTACTTACGATAGACGTTACATCAATAGCAATTTTATTGACCCCTACAATGTACTACATGGCAAGTGGAAGGAATTAAGGTCTTCGCTAGATGGCTGCCCTCGCTTCCACTCTACTTTTCACGAGTTTAGGTATAAAAGCCATATCTATTCATCAGTTATAATTGCGTCGCTTAGCATATGGTCTGTACTGCTTGCTCTGTCGAGATGTGCTCCCAAAAATCAACGAGTCAACGTAAGTTCACGAAAATTAATTAACACGCAGAATTGAATATTATATCTCTAATGTTATTGCGGCTGAAATGAAGTATCATGTTGAAAATCGAAAGTCAAACGCCTTATAAGAATTGAATATTGCAATTTTAATGTTATGGTGGAATGAATAAAATATATATTAAATATGTTGGTGATATTCACCTCGCGATATCCACCTCGGCACATCTCAGATTGTCTCTGTCGACGTGCGTGGTCAAGCAGCGGTTCACGTGACCACGCGCGATCATCTACGCGTACATGCGCATTGTGTGCACATAGCATGCGTGTAGTAGTGAATCGTGGCGTATTTTAACAGCTTGTCACTTTTGCTTTTACTTATAATGTTTAATCATATAACTAAAAAATTAATATCGCACAAGACGTGTTTATGCGCTGAAGGCAGTTCGAGTGAGAGCTACAATTGTATGTGTCCTCGACTGTCGCCCGCTGCTCATCATCTAAACATTGTTCTCTTTTGAAGTTCTCTCCATAAATTCCTTCCGCTTGCATAACTGCCTTCTTAGTCTTAGCTATATTATATTCATTTTTTCTTAATAAAAATGTACAATATATTTTTCTATAAAGGAAGCTCTTCTAATTATAAACTTGAAATAAGAGTCTTAGATTTGCGTTTAAATTGTCTGCTGTGTGCTATGCTATTCGTTAATTCACTCCAGTGCCTTCTGCTCACTTTTGAGGTTTTGGTGACGTAAGGGAAGGCTCGAAACCAAGTGTAGTTTAGTGAAAGTTTCCGCTTGTTTACTCACCAATAAATTCTTACCTGGTTCACTTTTAGTTGTCATAGAAAAGTGGTTTTGAGGTGCTTTCCTGGTGGGCTTTTAACGAGCTACCGAACCATTAACTATTACATGTCCGGGTTCCTCATGCAGTTTGGCTTGTTATGTTATATTGACGATACATTTCAACTTAACATGAAGGTTTGACCTCGCTTTATCATCGCGAACCAACTTACTTATCTGGGATTAATTCTATTGCACTTTCTACCATTTCTATATAATTAAATTTCAACTTCTCGTAGTGTATAATGTTTGTGATCCAATGGATTAAACTTTAAAGCTTACGTAAGCTTCCTCAAAAATGCCCTGTCATTTAATGCGTCAATATCAACGCTAATGATGCGTGATTCTTCCTTTAAATTACAGTTCTTATGGCTAAACAACAACATACATTGTATAATGATTTTAATTTACACGGCTACAGTTCTTTCAAAGCGTTATTCACTGTGTGTGTTGGGGGCGCGCGGTGACAAGCATTTTCTCCACCGCAGCGCACACTCCGAGCTGCCATATTTGCATACAATCCGTTAAAGCAGTGAAAGTTCCGAAATTTTGCATCGGCATCCTTCAGGGAAGCGTCGAGGGGCCAGATGATGGATGATAGTGATGAATCATCGTGACGCTTGCAGGTCCAGACTACAACATCTATTAGACGTTGTCATGTCTTGCGCAACATGCTGTGGGCGCCCACCGTCTACTGCACAACATCATTTCATATCCTATTAATGACCAGTATACTCATAATTTTCGATTTTGATCTGATAATAATACCTAGAACGATGTCAACAGCTACGGATCAGTGGTTACTATAACCCTTATCGGCCAGGATAAGGCGCTTGAGAGTGTGCCGTTGATGCTGCTGATTCTATTTTAAACTGATGTGATTCTGATTGATTTTCTGTGGTTTAGCCGATTGATTTTCAACTGTTTGATTCAAGTGAAAAATTAGATAAAATTTGAAGGCGACCAACTTAACGTAAGTTACAAGTGAGATGGTGGCTCCATCGTCGAGTAGCTTCCGAAGACTCGTTCTATTTCACTCACTCCCCCTCTCGTTGGCCTTCAGATTCTCGCTACTCTGTCATGCGTACTTCACGCTCTGACGAACACGCTGATACGCTCATCCCTCGCCAGACCGTATCAATGCCAGACCGTTTCAACGCCAGACCTTATCAACGGCTGACCGTATCAACGCTAGACGGTATTAGCGTCTAACCTTGCCAGATTGTACGAACGTCTGTATACTACCGTATATATTATCCATTGCTATGCTATATACTAAGTACACTATTGATTTGTACAATTTTACTTGGTTTTAAACAGGTCGAGTACATCTGCGCTCACTGCGGAGCAGGCGACGCTCACGGCCGAGAAGCAGCGATTGTCTGAACTACGAGTCATGCTGGAGGATGCTGAGGGACAGAGGGATGCTGCCCTCAAGGAGATACGGTGAGGGACTGTGGGACGCTTTCGTTTGTGAGGGACTGAGGGATGCTACCCTCAAGGAGATACGGTGAGGGACTGTGGGACGCTTTCCCCAGTATCAGGTGATCTTATGGAGTCAGGGAGAGGTGGTTCGTGACAGACTGACAGAGGGAGGCTTTCCACTTGTAGTTACGATAGGGGACGCAGCCCAGAGGTTGGCTGACCACGAAGAGAATTGGTGAAGAGCAGAGGTTATAGGTTGTCAACCAAGAGGCGAGAGAAACAGACCATTGCACTAGGCTTGTCGAGAGTTTTTCTGCAAGTATATTTTATCTTCAGCGATTTTTAACGAGTAATAGATTAGTTTCCGAATATCAACATTATAGAAAACGTATTTCTCCGTTAGAAAACGTGTTGGATTAAGGTTAAACTAAAATAATTGTTCAGAATGAATTGTTACTAAATTGTTCAAAGTTCTACAGTTCCTGCTTAAGTTATGATAGCTTTACAGTAAGTGTTACTATAATTTATAGTTACATAGGAAATATTTGTGCTTAATAGTTTTGTGCCATCATAAGACTTGGTCAAACAGTTGTCGTTGATCAAAAAGCAGTCACCATGAACTGTAAGTTTCAAATTATGTCCATCAGTGATCAGTGGCGTTTTTTAGCCTATTTTAGGGATCTCAGCCCTCTAAAAATAGTTTTAAGCTTTCGTCAATAATTTTATGTTCATATATTAGAATAAATATTAATTTTGTTTGAAAAAATTACCGACAAATCAATATTATGTGACCGGAATATAAGTTTAGATGAATAATCATTCAACCAGTCATTATTCACTAAAGACCCTTACGATTATGAATCTTAAGCGCTTAGCTCTTCCTGTCTTTAAAACATAGACTCTTAGTCCCTTCTCATTCCTAAGAACCTATAGTGGAGTTCTCGATGTTCACTTTCGTAAATTTCGTACAGAAAACAGTTTTTTCAACAATTTAGCATTAGTAGAATATTGAAATACGAATATTTGTGGATCAAACGTATGCAGCGCGATTCATGATTGAATTGGCAGTAGAATATCTAATTACAAATATTTTTAAATTATGCCAGGCGATTCATGATCTTATTGATAGTAGAATATCTAATTACAAATATTTTTTAAAGTATGCCGGGCGATTCATGATGTTATTGGCAGTAGAATATCTAATTGCAAATATTTTTGTATCAGGCGGCTGCAGGGCGAGCTGTCGTCTGCTCAGCAGGACGCGCTGCAGAGCGCGTCGGAGCGCGACGTCTTCAAGATGCGCACGCAGGAATATTGCGCCACGCTCGAGCGCCTGGGCGAGGCGCTGGCTGCCAAGGCATGCATAGTTGTAGTGTTAGTGATGTCAGCGAGCGGCAGAATTCTTGCAAATTTCTGGGCTTTGAACCCGCATATCACTGCAACAATATTGTTATTCTTAACCTCCCTGCCATCTCGCTCATTTTGATCAGTACTATCGCAGGAAGCTGGGATCGAACCGACAACTTTGCTATTATAATGGTGCCCTAGACTTTAACCACTTGGCCTGCATGCTCAATATATATATATATATATATATATATATATATATATAAGACTCACAACTACGTACATACAAGACTCACAACTACGTACATATAAGACTCACAACTACGTACATACAAGACTCACAACTACGTACATACAAGACTCACAACTACGTACATACAAGACTCACAACTGTGTACATACAAGACTCCAAATACGTACATATAAGACTCACAACTACGTACATACAAGACTCACAACTGTGTACATACAAGACTCCAAATACGTACATACAAGACTCGCAACTTCGTACACCTAACTACGTGCAGGCATCTGAGGAGTCAGCCCTGCGTCAGCAGTACCTGAGTCTGAACGACACCGTAGAGACGCTGAGGACCCACAGCCAGTCACTGGAGGGCGACGTGGCTGTCAAGGACCAGAAGCTGGGGCACCTCGAGGCCCTCATACAAGAGAGCAAGAGGGAGAGAGAACATATGCTGCAGCAGGTGAGTGTACATGATAATGCTACAGTCATGTTTGTATTATGTTATTATTATTATCTATTATTATGAAAATGCTACAGTAATGTTTGAATCTATTATTATTTATTATTATGCCAATGCTACAGTAATGTTTGTATCTATTATTATCTATTATTATGTTAATGCCACAGTAATGCATGAACTAGTATATTATTATGTCAACGCTGTAGTAACGCAAGGAAATGTCAATTATTATTTATTTGAAAGTCTTGGTGAGGATTTATATGAACGGGTTTCCATTTCATTCAAGTTATTATGGTTTGAGAATTTTATCTGATTACTGGCAAGATGTTTCTGTAGAGGTATGTTAGGGGATTATTATTACCATCTATTTCAAGCAATGCCGGGACCCTCCGCCGGTCGATTATATATTTGTATGATTTGTATGATGATTAAGATAATGGTTTATGCACCTGGCGCCGTAAATATACAGTATAGGGGCTCTTGGAACGCGTGTCCAGGGTTATTATGGTGTCGGGATCTGGGTAGGAAATCATGAGCCATGACTGTGGGTAAATAGAATTAAGATGCTCGTAATAAACCCTTATACCCACGGTCATATATACAGTTATGAAGTTATACGTTACGGAGCGATATCGAACGAAGAAAGTGTATATTTTTACGTCTATCGACAATTCTAAAATTTCGCTTATAAGTCGATAAATAATATCTTTTGCATAAAATAGAAATTGTAGTTATATTTGCTTGTAGCAACAACAAAGTTGAAACGTTACTCCAGCGTGGGATGCGTGAACACGGTGGAAGGGCACATTCAAAATCTGAAGAAGTTTCATCACAGTTCCTCAGTATTGATTGACTGTTTCAATGCTAAAGTTACCACTGTACAATCCACATAGTCCTCAGGTTTCTGCGAGTAATGATTCACAAAGCAAATAATAAAATATTTTGTTCTAGACCTTGCCTGTCATATATATTGCGCCCTATAATTCCACCGAATCTGCAATATTGCTGCAAATTTAAACAAAGAAAATAAGACTGAAATGCACCATATCGTTATAGTGGAAAACGTGTCTTTGTCACACAAAAGGATTGTCGAATAGACAGACGAAGGAGTTAAACTCAGAAAAATTTCTTCTATAAAGAAATGTTGAATTTTTCTGCCATTATTTTTGTAAATGTAATTTCTTAGTACTCGCAATTTCTAAATAAGGTTGCAGAGGCGACCGACCAAGTGGCCGAGTTCGACGCTCGCTGCAAGACGCTCGAGGAAGCCAAGTACGAGAGCGACCGAGAGCTCATCAGCACTCGAGAGCTCGCGCAGAGGCTCGACGGCAAGAGAGCTGAACTCGAAGCTGAGCTCGCCAGAACTCAAGACGCGCTCGAGAAGGTCAGGATCTACTTTTAATCGTAAATATTTGAAATATTCTTTGGGCCATAATTCTGAAGCTATGTGAAATATACTTGGGGCCATAATTCTGAAGCTGTGTGGGATTCCGCGTAGTTGAACTCTATAATTTACTTCTTTTTAATGCTGAACACTATAAAAATTATGTAATTTTTGAATCAAATGGCAAAGTGGTCGAAAGTTTTAGCTTTCCTGCTATTGCAGTCCTAATCGCACTCGAGTTTTGGGTTGGAGACTCGGCTAAAGATGAGGTACTCTTCCGGTGCCGCTCCGTATAGCGAAAAATGATTTGGGTGAAAAATCGAGTTGGTATCTCGAATTCCTAGCAGCAAACTAGATGGAAAATTTGCAACATGAAAAATTGATCTGGTTTTATGCACAGAATTCTTCGCTTCGGCTCGCAGTGTTCGAAATTAAACTTGAATTCCAATTCTTCCTACAAGAATAGATACAAATCGAAAACGAATAAATTCCACTCATTAGATTATAGTAACACACAAAGGTAGCTTCATATTACAATTGGGAGTAAAATCTGCACCTGCGCGACGCAATACAGGCAGGTATTTTCATTAATAAATTGTATATGCGTGACAAAGATTTATTGATTGTTCATTTGATTTCGTCAGACTAATTAACAATAAAAGTTAACACTTCGAATATTTTCCAAGCTGGGCCGGGAGAAGAAGCGACTCCAGGGCGACGTGGAGCGATTGGAGGCGGCGGTGACAGAGCAGAGATCGGAGCAGGCAAAGCTGGAGTCCGCGCTGTCGGAGCACCGGAAACTGGAGTGGAGCAACGCGGCGGAGGCTAAGCAAATCTCCGTGGAGAAGCAGCAGCTCAGCCGCAAGGTAAACCGAAAAAAAGTATTCACATCTACTCGTTAACATCATACAGAGAAGTGTTTCTGAATAAGTGATATTTTTATTTTTTTATATTTTTAACTGAATAACAGGAATTTTTTTCTAACACGAAATCTGGAAGTGGTGTTAATTAGGAATCGGTCCACTATAACGCACATAAGTACGATTCTTGAACGCCACCTTTTCGTTTATTCACCGCCAACTGGCTCTATTCTGCTGACTCAATCAGTTTGTCTACGAACGTGTTCACTCTGCTGCTTTTTTTTTGCAAATTTTACGCAATTTTCTTGATAGAGCATAAGAGCTGGAAAATATACCTCTTGGAACGTTGACTTGCGGTGCAATCACGCTTAGTCTAATATTAACTGGGCAGAAACTTGTACATATATTGGCTGCTATACATCTTTTAGCATTTTATATCTTGGAAATTTCTCTTAAATAATTTCCACTGTAAATTTCTCTTGACTTATTTCCACTGCAAATTTTTAGTTTGTTCAGAATTTCCAATAACATTCATAATTGTTCCAACAGTCGCTCGTCCTGTTACAGCCTCCAGACACGAGTGTTCATTGGGCCGAGGTTGTTGCATCATATCTGTAATCTATCGCTGCGACAGAATTGCTAGTTTCGCCTAAATGCCTGATTACAAGTTTTCTCTTCCCGTGCTTCCAATAACGGCATATTTACCATATTTTTCATCGGAAGTTTTTTTCATGAAGGAGGCAATTAATTTACGTGGAGTTTTGTGTTAGAATCATCTTTCATAGCAAACGTACCTGAATGATGCTCTGAATTGAATTAATTTTGCGTCGCTATTCTCACTCTTGTGTCAAAATATGTTGCTATTTTCCATTGATTTTACCATTACTGGGCCATAGCATGCCCATTAGGATGTAGCGAAAATTTTTTTTTTTAAATTTAGGATTCAACTACTATTTTTTCATGTGAACACGTGCCAAGTGAATTTTTACTTCAATGAATTTTCCAAACCAAAGATTTCTAGAATTGGCGCAATGCTCTTGAAAATTGCTGGAAATGTAGATGTTAACGTAACTTTAATTTTAATGGTTATTTTTTTGTATTTGACCTGGATTATTGAGGTGATGATGTTGAATATATATTTAATAAGAGATTACAAATTAGGAAACAAAATATAACACATCGATTGATGCTAGTATTGTCTGGAACGGTTTTTCGCCCTGCAACAACAGATATGTTAAACACCTTGCCATGGCAGGGTGGAAACATTCTCTTACTTATGTTGCCATATTCAACAAGCAACCAACTCATCAGTGTGGCTAGTTATACTTGTGCATGTGCTAAAAATCAGCCGGTTCAGATTTTAATATAGATCATTGCTATCTAAAACAAAATATTTATTGACATGTGATGAATAAAATGAAGACGTAAAAAACTGCATGCGCTATTATAGTTAAGATAATAATAGAGTTCATAAAATAACCTACAGTCTCTGTCTCACAGAGACACACGCGGCACAAAAATCCTCCTGTTAACTTGCGTATGAGGCTGGAAAAAACTTATAACGGCAATCGTTTTGTGCCATATTTTGTTTACGGATTTATAATCTCATATTAAGTAACTACTGAGCATTATTACTTCAATAATCTAGGTTACATTCCGAATATTAAAATCAAAATTACGCTGATTCTCACGTTGCTTGAACTTTTCAAAAGATTTGCACAAACTCAAAAATTTGTGCTCTTGAAATTCCTTTGAAGCTGAATAACTTACCAGGTGTCCGCATGAATAATTACAGTCGGAAAGCAAATTGCCACATATTTTCCACTCTATCCTGATGGAAATGTTTTACCGTATATTACAGCGAATATAAATTGTCTCACCTTAATGAGACATTTATTACCTGACCCCCAACTGGAAGGTAATGCTGCTTTTAATTCACCTATGAACCATCTGTCTGTCCCTGGTGGCGGCAGCTGGCGGACAATGCTGCTCTAACTCCCCAATAACCCTCTGTCCCCGGTGGCCGCAGCTGGCGGACAATGCTGCTCTAACTCCCCAATAACCATCTGTCCCTTGTGGCCGCAGCTGGCGGACAATGCTGCTCTAACTCCCCAATAACCATCTGTCCCTGGTGGCCGCAGCTGGCGGACAATGCTGCTCTAACCCACCTATAAACCATCTGGCCCTGGTGGCCGCAGCTAGCGGACAATGCTGCTCTAACACCCCTATAAACCATCTGTCCCTGGTGGCCGCAGCTGGCGGACAATGCTGCTCTAACTCCCCAATAACCATCTGTCCCTGGTGGCCGCAGCTGGCGGACAATGCTGCTCTAACTCCCCTATAACCATCTGTCCCTGGTGGCCGCAGCTGGCGGACAATGCTGCTCTAACTTCCCTATAACCATCTGTCCCTGGTGGCCGCAGCTGGCAGAGACGCAGGCAGAGCTGGAGGCCGAGGCGTCAGAGTGTCGGAGGCTACGAGCGCACGCGGCGCTGACGGAGGCAGAAGTGGAGCGTCTCAAGCGAGACCTCACGCACGAGCAGTACGAGCGAGAGCGCGCCGGACAGGAGCTCAGGAGGGTGAGACGTTAGGCGGTGCATTTCTTATTTTATATTCCATGTACTTACTTATATTTTCTCTTTTATATGTCATGTATTAGACACATTTATTATTTTATATTGCACGTATTTATTTATATTTTTATTTCTATGTCATTTATTAGGCACATTTCTTATTTTATATTGCATATATTTACTTCTATTTTTTATTTCTATAACATTTATTACAAGGTATTTTGAAATTATGTTCAATATGGTAATTGCAAAAGAGTTATTCTAAACTGGTTGTAATGTAACTGTATGTACGATGAAACAAATGATGGAAATTTTCAACATAAAAATCTGATGGTAGATGGACTAAATTGATTCAATATGGAAAATCAACTAAGTATGATACCAATTCGCGAGTTTATAAATCGGCAATCGGATGAAATAATCTTTCTCGAATGTATAAAGCTTAAATTTTAAAACATTCCATATGAGCATTTGAAGGAAGAATCATTATGTGAAATTCACTGTATTGTTTGTCTGTGCGCAGCTGAGATCTCTTCAGTTGCTGAGCCTGTGAGACAAGCTGGAATATTCGTAAACAGAAATGTGACTGGAATTCTACGTTTATTGAGAGTCGTGTTGAAGAAGTTAGGGAATACGTTGACTAGGTTGATTTCAACCCAGTTCAACCCTACGAATGCGCACAATTTTACCACGACCATTACCATTTACTGCCATTGAGCATTTACAATAGTGCCGGCAGTCAACGTACAAATTTTATTTAAAGGGACTTTAACTTAATCAATTGCATGTAGTGTTACGATGGTAGATGTAGTTCGATATGTAGCGTTAATGAAAACTGAGATTTAGAATGAATTATATGATCGAAGTGAAATACGTTGTACAAGATGTTGACACGTTGACTACGAAGTGGTACATATGCATACCACGAAATGTATTTCTCCAGGACGTAGTGGTACATAATCTAGGTTGCCTAAAATCGGCCAAATCCGAGAACAAAAAAGGCCAAAAAAGGCCGAAAACTCAATATATACTAGTTTATTTGTAGGGTGCGCTATAAAAATTCCATTTATTTTCTTTTTGCAGTATTTAAAATGCAATTAGGAGTACCCCTATCATAAATTTTAGCTGGCCAACCCAATTGAGAAAAACTAAATCGCAGAATTTGTCCGGGAAAAATGACCGTCTAGAAACCTTGTTTAAAAACAGTACAAAAAATTGAATATTAGTACTAGATGAAGCAATCGTAGTCAACGTGTTAATAGTATAGCATAGCTTGTTTATTCCACTTGTAGAGCTCAGTGATTTTCTTTGATCCATTAAACTTATTATTTTGTGAAACGGGATTCACGTGATTGGTTCTCATGCTACATGTGAAAAGATTGTCTCAGCAATGGAAGTTGATCTCATTAATGTTAAGGAACAAACAACAATACGCTCGAGCTCGATAGAAGTGTAATTGTTGTGCGGTTATTGATGTACAAAATTTAATGTATTTATAAATAGTAGCGAATGGAGCATTTTAAAAGAAAGGCGACTAACCTTTGTAAGCCATTAGAAATTTGTTTTAGTTCAACACGGAAGAAAGAGGAAATGAAATTTTGACTATCAAGTTCTGACTTTTAATTGAGGTTTGTGAGCCAATCTTCCTAATCGTATTAGACGGAGTTTTAATATTATTTTTTTAACCTTGCCTACGCATCTCGGTACATGAGTTGTCTTCACTCACGTTCGGATAACATATTTGGCAACTTTGTACCATTATTAATACTCTTTGTAATACCGGACAGTCAACACCAGCTGCTTTTATTGTGGACATTATTAGCAATATCTTCTCACTTAGATTTGTGTGCTTACACAGAGACGCAATTGCCTTCCTCATCTATCCATGGGTGTCGGTATAAATATTATTCGCTACATATATAAAAAAAATTGGGTACGTTCTTTTTGTGTTGTTAGATGAACTTTCTGTTGGTTTGGGGTTCTTTCCTTTCAAATAGAAAATGTTACAAATAATAAAAAAAATCCTACCTAATTCGAACTCGTGTACTGAAAAACAACATCGAGCTCACATAGCACCTGACCACGTCCTAGTACAGCTCACCTAGCACCTGCTTAACGTAAACAATCGAATGTACAATAATATTTACGTGGGTCAACAATACCAACAAAATTAATGTCCCTCATCTGAATGTGGTCGTGGATAGAAATTTTGATCAAGACGACCGCCCAGCGATGCGGCGTGCTGCACCTAATGCGGCTTCAGTGATACCAACTTAATTTGCATACAATGACTGCATTACGCATACTGCTACTTACTGGGCAGTGAGGGATCCGCTCACTGCAGAATCTAAGGAGGTAACAAAAGGATGAAGTGTCGAAATATTCCTTAAAATTTTCACGCAATTTACAACCGTTCAATCACGATTCTAATTCTCTATAAGAATTTTATAAATATTTTTCGTCTAAATTGATGAGTGCTGTTTTTTTTACTTCTCCCTTATGACAGTGTGGATCGCGATAAAGCGATGAATCGATCAAATGATTCATATAGCTCTTGAGAGATCAATCAATATCTTCAGATAGCCTCAGTCATATTGTCATAAATATATAAATTAACAAATAAATGAATATGCAATATAATAAATATATTAATATCGCCTCTCTAAAAAGAATGGTGATTCCCCAATGAAGATTGAATCTGAAGACCTTAAAACTTGGTTATCTCTGAGCGAGATGAAGGAAGTGTCTGGAATCCATGTCGGTTGAGATCCCAAGAAAGATATCCTGATCCGGCGCACGCACTGCAGACTGTACGGTTTTTCTGTCTTCACCTGCAGTGCTTACCTTCTCAGACGCCTTTATACTTGATAAGCGCGTTGTATTGTTCGGTAAAAGCAGTCATATCATGTCATGGGCGTCAGATCTGCTAGAGTCAAGCACTTCTGAGACGCCTTGATGCTTGATAAGTGTCATGCATTCATTACTACGGGAAAAGCAGGTATATAATCGGCATCAGATCTGCGAAACTCAAGCACTTTCGAGTGCCTTGATGCTTACTAAGTGCGTTGTATTTTTCAGTTAAAACAGATATTTAATCGACATCGTAGCGATGGAAGATGGTTGGCTGCTCGTGTCCCGTCTGATTTCTAGCAGCAAGGGTGGATAGAGACCGTGTATTAATCGCGTTCCTTTTAATTTACGGGATTGTTGGGCGATGGAGGCGTCGCAAATCAAATGGATCTGAAAGCATGATTGATTTCTAGTAAATGGAGCGACGTTGTGATATATCGAGGAAAGTGCAACCCGCAACTTGCGTACACTCAGAAAATTAATTGGCCATAATGTTCAAATAGTGAAACACTTTCTGCACGTAGTAGTAACACGCCCCCGTTGCCGGAGCCAAACTGGGTCAAATTTACTCGCATTAGGGCAAGAAGTTCAATGGTAATCGTTCTTTGTTTCACTGATTTCTCTGAGTGTATAACTACGGAATTGCCATTGGTCAAAACCTTGGACATGCAAAGCTTGCAGAAAGTTTTTGACCGAAATTGCAGAATATGCATTACAGAAAATACACTTTGAATTTTCATAGATTTGTACATAGAAATATTAAAAAACTGATCTTTTTAGAAAGAATAAAAATTTTCAAAAACTTGAGGAAAAATGCTGCACCACCGTGAAGGTTAATCATAGTTAGTTTTGTTTTCTATTTCGTCGGTGGGTGGAGGCCTACTAACTCTACGAAATATCAGGCGTTGCTACGTCATGGACATGAGGGGCGTGAAGAACAATCGCTCAATTTGCATTTGATGGCTAAAGCCAAATTTAAAGCGTGACGAAACTTGATAAAAGGGAACGAAATTGTGATTAGATGAGCTGAATTGCGAGGCAGGGGGCCGTGTTATACTGTACAGTGTAATGTGCTGCAGGAACAGCAACGAGCTTAGGAGATTACATACATTCTCGAGGTGAATACCCACTTCCTTTGTGGGGCATGCGTGATTTTATTTAGAAATGAAATTCAATTTTAACAAATATTAGTACATATCCGATTATATAATTTATGTTATTTATCTCGTAATAGAACGCGAAAAGGCGGTGGAAAGTAATTGTGTTTGAAATATCAGAATAAAAGTCTCTTATTTAAACAACACTTTGTTGCAGAGAACATTAACGAGACTATATTTCGCCCTTTTGTTGTGTTCTTTGATGGCTTTAATGCAGAGCGAATCCATGACTATGGCGTAGGATCTGAATGCATCATCATTCATGCGACGTTTGCATCAGTCTCCTGCCGTGCATTAGTCCTCGCAGTGCGTACACATGACTCGTCGCATCCACCGTACACTCAGAAAACTTAATGGATCATATTGTACAACTAATGATGCACTTATTTACCTGCAGAACAGAAATCAGAAGTATAGAACTGATGCCTTATTTTCAGGATGACCCACACGAGTGCAAAAAAATCATCGCTATTTGGACGATGACCCTCAAAATTTCTCAGAGCTTATCGGCAGCTCCATAGGTTGCGCTTGTCCTCGGCAGTTAAACAATTTCATGACCACGAGGCCGTGGTGCTGGCCAACATATCCCATAAGCAAATCCTTATTCTAGAATATAATTTTTTTTTGTTCTAATTCGACGCACTCGCTGCTACAGATGAGTGGACATTAAAGTGAAAGCATCCCCAGTAGAATTTGAATATTTTGCTAAAACAAGTTCTAAAAGTTCAGATATTGCGATCAAATTTTGAATAGACCACAACTTGTTTACATGTTTCATTATAAAATATTTATATTTTTACACACAACAAATTACTAACAATAAACGTTATTTAAAAGGCATAACGCTAGCACGCTCACGTAGAACACATGTGTCCCCGCACAACACCTCGTCTCTCTATTGCTGTTTATACTCCAGGCTGAAGAAGAATAAGACTATCACTACACTCGTGAGAACCTCTCACCCGCCATGACTCGGGATCTTAAATACGATCCAGTCATCGATATCGCACGACTTGGTCTGCTCAGTTGCATTCTTCATGGTTTGCGTGACTGCGCCGAACACTCATAAGGAGAGACATCCATGATGTTGCCACGCCAGCAGTAATGCATTCGTAATTGGGACATTACAATTCTTGACTACGAAGATAAGGATTCATTTTAAACGAACGTAAAAGATTCTTTAGAATATCGGAGTGAAGCCTTGCGTCTCGAGTTTTTCTCGTTGTTTTCATTTATTATCATTTTTTTAGTGCATTATGAGCTAATTCCGTTCCGGTCGAGGAAATTCCCTTCTGTACACAACAACTAGAATTTATAGTACTGACTTAAATTATTGTTAGAGGAAAATGTCCACGCAGACAGAAGGTTATAATGTACATTTATAAAGTTAAAAGTTATTATTAATAGAAGTTCCAGTAGGCAGGGAAGTAAATTGAATTAAAATTCAATTGATATTATCTTATCGTTATCACAACGAACTGAATTATTTCTCCACATGATGAGCCAGAAAACCCTAATTAATAAATACAAATTAAACAATGATTAAGAAAAAAACCAACCAAATTAAAAAACTATTCCATACAAAAATGCTACATTAGTTCAGAAGCGGTCTGTTCAAAGCAGTGTAAATCTGTCGGTCTACAAATTGGAACATGAAATTTAATCTTAACCTTGAAGAGGATTACTCAGTTACATAACAGCTAACATCTCTCGCGGCATTTCCTCGTGTTCAGTTCGTTTAGTTCCCATCACTTTGGTTTCATTCAAAGCCGAACATAATTTTCTTTAAGATATACTGTATGAAATTCAGAGAGGCCGTGTCGCCGGATGACAAGCGAGGACTCTACTCCGGCCTGAGCTACCCGATATGGACCAAACAATGGACGAGCGGTCGTGTTCACTGTATCATTTTTGCCATATTAGGGATACCAAG